TGGTGTGCCCGGGGAGACATGCCGACTTCTCCCGGTAGGCCTCGGGGGTGCCCACCGCGGCCGCCGGCCGTGCTGCCGGCATAGAGCTCCGCAGCGGACGGCAGAGTTGCAGAAACGGCTCCTTTGTGCCGGGTCTCCAAATGCATGTCAGCGGTTGGGCCGGTTCCGCTCGGCGAGGTGTGGCATTGTGCCGATCGTTTGGGCTCTCTGACCGTTTTGGGTTTTGGGTTCGTTGCGGAACCGCGTACCCCAGGGCTGGGGGCCGAGGGTCCGGGGGAGCGGAATGGCACGCGCTGCAGAGGGACCGGCATGGAGGCGGACTCACGGCCCAGCGCTGGGGCCAGGTTCGGGGCGTTAGGGCAGCCGGTCATTGGGAAGAAGTTCACCTTATCGACCACAACGCGTCCCGTTGTTGAGCGGTGACCATGCGATGCTGTGGTTTGGGTATTGGGATGCAGTCTGAAAAACTGCTTAAAAAGGCACCAGAGAAGCGTAAGGATATAGGAGTCATTTACGAATCAAGAAAGTGTAGTCAGCTTTTCCCCATTCACGTTTCCTCTCATTAAATCGAGATTTTTTAAAAAGCATATAAATATTATTCACATAATGGATATAAAGGACAAAGAAAACCTGTACATTAAAGACATGGGAATAGTGTACGGGTACACAATTAGTGCCAAATTCCTTTGTCTTCTCCTGAAGTAGAAAGTGTTCTTATTCTTGTCACTGCTGGGAATGTGAGGTCCGCCAGATTTTGTTTCTGGGGAGAAAAGATGGGACATAGGGCAGATAAAGCGAGTATATGCCCTGTGCTCTGTCACCCCCCACAAAACCTACCTGTAGTTCTAGTTTCTAACAATTTTGAGGCCCTTAGAATTGACTTAAATTGTTTGAATTTATTCAGATATAAATTCTGTATTTAGTAGAACTTTATACAACAGCGAAGTGAGTTCATAATACTAGAAGGGGAAAAATCAGAAAGTCGTGTCCACAAATGTACTTTACTGTCCATTCCTGAGGAAAGTGACATAATTATGCTCTTTTCAAGTTTTAGGACAATTCTTTGTGAAAAAGAGATTTTGGTAAGGAAGTGGGGAAATTGTTGTCAGCTCTTTTCATTATACTTATTAGATGTAGTGAGATTAATTAGGGAAAAAGCTAGTGTGATTTTTTTTATTAACTTATTTTCTTTTTCTTTTTTTATATATTTTATTGATTTCTTACAGAGAGGAAGGGAGAGGGATAGAAAGCCAGAAACAACCATGAGAGAGAAACATGGATCAGCTGCCTCCTGCACGCCCCCCCACTGGGGATGTGCCCCAACCAAGGTACATGCCCTTGACCGGAATCGAACCCAGGACCTTTGAGTCCGCAGGCCGAAGCTTTTATTAACTTATTTTCTAAAAGAACTTATTTGTAAAGCAAGTATATATGGTTGCCAAAAATTAAGCTAATTAGCACAAGCCCTTAGGCACCCTATTTTAATGTATAGATAAGAATGATTTGGAAAAAGAGAAAGATTTGAACTTGTAGTTAGTATGGTCAGAAGAATGTAAATATATATTTTAAATTCCCTGATGTTGCTTTAGTTTTTATTTTCCTAGGTAGTTTAGTATTCACTCATCACCTGTTTTGGTTTCAAAATACTCATCTTCTTTCAATAATGAAAATAAATTTTAGACCCGGCTTATCTGTGTTACATATCCCGAATAATTTAAATTCAAATTTAGTTGGTATTAAGTATTAAATATGCTATTTATTTGTGAAGTACTTTTTCTTTCAAGGTGTTTATGGTGACTGTGTGCTATCTGTGTTTTGAGGACCTTCTTAGAAATTTAGACTTGATAATTTCTTTGGAATTATTAAATATTCTTTAAAACCCATAAGATAATGCTTTTGCCAGTACAAACCCTTTGTGTTATCTGCCAGATTTAAGGACCACGGTACAGCTATGGATACTGAACCAAACCCTGGAACATCTTCTGTGTCGACAACAACCAGTAGCACTACCACTACCACCATCACCACTTCCTCCTCTCGAATGCAGCAACCACAGATCTCAGTCTACAGTGGCTCAGACCGACATGCTGTACAGGTATTTCAGTTATGAAGATGGGTAGGCTAAGACTTAGGATGTCATTATTTTTGCTTATGTCAAATTTTGTTTCATATCCAATGAATTATATGATATCCTCTAAATCAGGGGTCCTCAAACTTTTTAAACAGGGGGCTAGTTCACTGTCCCTCAGACTGTTGGAGGGCCGGACTATAGTTTAAGAAAAAACTAGTCGGCTGCTAAGCAACAGGCATTTGCGGCAAAAACACCCAGCAGCCAGATAAATGTTTTCGGCAGGCCACATGTGGCCCGCAGGCCGTAGTGTGAGGGCCCCTGCTAAGTACAGTTAGAATTATTAATGTTCAAAACACTCAAAAAGTTACTTAATAATTATTCTGTTGAGAGGGCTTACATTTGTCAGTGTAGCTTTATTTTATTTTATTTATTTATTTTTAAAAAATATGTTTTATTGATTTTTTACAGAGAGGAAGGGAGAGGGACAAAGAGCCAGAAACATCGATGAGAGAGAAACATCGATGAGCTGCCTCCTGCACACCCCCTCCTGGGGATGTGCCCGCAACCAAGGTACATGCCCTTGACCGGAATCGAACCCGGGACCCTTCAGTCCGCAGGCCGACGCTCTATCCACTGAGCCAAACCAGTCAGGGCGATTTTAAAAATATCTTTATTGTTGAAAGTCTTACATAGGTTCTCTTTTTCCCTCCATTTAACCTCTTCCAGTCCGTTCTTATTCCCCCCTACCCCCCTCCCACCCCCGAGTGTAGCTTTTAAAATATGTAAGGAAAATTATAATTGGAAGGTGTCTAGCTGCTGCTTCAGTATGGAGATAATCAATCTAGAGCCCCAACATGCAGAATGGCTCTAGGTTTTTTGGGATTATTTTATATTTGAACCCATAATATAGACTTAGGGAGATCTATTCAGGTCTGTAGATGTGTTAAGAGGTTCATTTTAAACTGAAGAACCCTAAGGAGAAGGATTCATTCTAAAGCTCTTAGGGGTAGAGGTGGAAAGGAATTCTAAGGAGGAAAAATCTTGGGCTCGTCACTTAGTTGAGAAAATTAAATTTACTTGGTTAACCTTTATAATAATGGAAGTGAAGGCAATATGGTATTGCATATAAAGGACAAGGGCATTGCAGTCTGATATGCTCTTTGAATTTCACTTTCTCATTAGTAGTTATATAATCTTAGGTGGGAGGCATAATAGCCTCAGGAAACTGTAAAATGAGGATGAGACCACCACCTTATTAGTTATTATGAGGATTAAAGGAAGCATCTAGAACTGTTTGGGCACGTTAGATGTACCCAGTACGTAATAATAGCCAACATTTATTGAACAGTTTCTATGGGCCAAGCATTTGATAAAAGTTTTGCATGGGTTATTAGATACTATTATTATCTCCATTTTATAAATGGGAAAACTGATGTTTTACTAGTAAGTAGTCTAACTTTCCTAAACTCATAAAGCTAGTAGGTTCTCTGATTCTGGAGTTGTGCCCTTAACTACTCTTTGAGTTCTTATTTTTTTCCATTATACCTGCTTATTCTCTCTAGAATCCCCATAATTGCATTCTACATTGAAAATAACTTTGCAACATAATCCTCTCCCTATTCATTTTTCTAGAGTGGATACCCCAGTATAATGACTATTTAACTGTTGTATGGTTTAGGATTCTGACGTTACCATAGATGGAATCAGAATTGTTGGAGACCCAGTCAGTTAAAAAATTCAAACTGGAATGCAGAATGTGTTTTTAATGTTCTTCATCTTTCTCTGAGGCAAGAGATATAGGGAAGAGTATCAAGATCTTTGAACACAAGATGATGTGATATTTTAATATGCCATTTTGTTCTCTAGTTTTTACCTGAGCTGGATGTGTTAATAAAAAACAGTGTTATGTACAGCATAGGGAATATAGTCAATATTACCGTAATAACTTTGTATAGTGTGATCACTTCATAAGGTATATAGATGTTGAATTACTGCGTTGTACACCTGGAAGTATTATATTAATACTTTAATAAAAATTTTTAAACTGTTACTGGAGATATATAGATATAGATATAGATATATCTCACAAATAGCACTAACACTAATTTGCATGATATCCTAGAATTGCTTCCCCTAAATACCATCAAATCAATATTTATTGAACTACCTAAGTAGTTCTTTAATACCTTCAGCTTTCATTTTCAGTCCTTTGAATGTTCTTTATCATCCTCATTCCTTTAGAGCAGGAGTGTGGAACCTTTTTTCTGCCAAGGGCCATTTGGATATTTATAACACCACTAGAGGCCCGATGCATGAAATTCATGCATTGGGGGGGAGGTGTCCCTCAGCCCGGCCTGCGCCCTCTCGCAGTCGGACATCCTGCGAGGGCTCCCAGACTGCAAGAGGGCACAGGTCAGGCTGAGGGACCTTTCCAGTGCACGAATTTCATTACTGTTATAATCCTAAATTACTAGTAAATTAGTAAATTACTATTCTAGTACTGTTATAATCCTAAATTACTTGATGCTGGTCTATAGTCCTCTGCAACTAGGAGTCAAAAGCCTACATTGATATGGTGACAGAAGTCTGTAGCAGGCTTAGCAATCTGGAGTTGGAAAAATGAGATATAAACAAGTGAAAGTAAACAATACAAGGAAATATGCTCTCTTGGAATTTTGTGGTTCAAGGTGTCCTGACTCATACCCTAAAGCTGTAGGATATGGCTCTATTACTCCCTTATCTCTCTGGTTTGATGCTGCTTTAAGAGTTCTGTACTGTTTCAGAGTCACTGTGGGCATGATGTGACTTTGGGATGTGGTTGTAGAGGACTACCATAGTCTGACTTAATTGGTTTGGGCAGATAAAGAATTTTTCTCTGTTAATAGAATGGTTGTTTTTTCTGTGTTTATCTATTTATGAAGTGTCAGGCTCAGATTTTATATTATACTAATAAATATTTTCAGTAACACTTATAGGAATTATTTTAGTAAGGATAGTTTTATTCTATTGAAACAATTGAAACACGGAATCTGACATTTAAAAAAACATTTATAAATGTTTGAAAAATTAAATTTGAAAGGTAATTAGTAATTTTCTAAAAAGTAAATTGCTTTATAATTTTATGATTATTAATATAATACCTACTCATTATAAAGTTTTTTCAGTCATTTAAAGAAAAATAGAGCCTTAACTGGTTTGGCTCAGTGGATAGAGCATCAGTCTACAGACTGAAGAGTCCCAGGTTCGATTACTGTCAAGGGCACATGCGGGCTCGATCCCCCAGTATGGGGCGTACAGGAGGCAGTTGATCAATGATTTTCTCTCATCATTGATGTTTCTATCTCTCTCTCCCTCTCCCTTCCTCTCTGAAATCAATAAAACTATATTAAAAAAAGAAAAGTACCAACAAGAAGGTAAAAATCACCTCGAATCCAGTTTGGTGTTCTTTTAACATTTTCCTGAATATTCTTTCAAAACTTTTAATATAGCCATAGCTGGTTTGGCTCAGTGGATAGAGTGTCAGCCTGTGGACTGAAGGGTCGTGGGTTTGATTCTGGTCTGGGGCGCATGCCCAGGTTGTGGGCTCCATCCCTAGTGTGGGGAGTGCAGGAGGCGGCTGATCAGTGATTCTCTCTCATCCATTGATGTTCCTATCTCTCTCACCCTCTCCCTTCCTCTCTGAAATCAATAAAAAAAAATTTAAAGTATTATAAAAAAACACACACAAACTTTTAATATAAAAAGGCATTTTACTCAATACACTATTTAGTAGCCTGCTTTTTTCACCTTAGGATGTATTTGGGAATTCTTTTTGTTAATTAATGTAGATATACTAGTATGTGCCATGTTGTACAGTAGCTACTAGCTTATGTGGCTATTTATATTTAAATTAAAATGAAGTAAAATTAAAAACTCAATTCCTTAGTTGCACTGGACACATTGTAAGTGCTCAGAAGACACATGTGGCTAGTGGCTACTATATTGGGCAGCACTGCTTTGCATTACTATTTGTAATGGCTGCAGGGTTGAACGTATTCCTTCCTGTACCCAAGCCCTGAATTCTACCAAGTTTTATTCAAAATGCTTATACCAATTTAGATTTTTATGACCATTTATGAGAGTACCTGTTTCCTCAGTTAATAGTATTCTTTTAAATCTTTATCCATCTGAAAGTTGGAAAATAATATCCTGTTTTAATTTGTAATTTTTGTCTGCTAATGGGATTGAAGATCTTTTCAAATGGTTGTTTGCTCCTTTTTTCTTTTGTGAATTGACTACACAGGGTAGTTTTAATTTGTACGGATTTAATTTGTGCAATCCTAGAGATATGTAATTAGAGGAGAACTATGTTAATAAGCTTATGACAGTGAATATTCAAGTAGCAAAATTTTAAACTTTCACTTTTTTAACACTTTATTTTATGGTTAAGATTATGGTTTGACATTGGTTCAATTGACTTATCACAGGTAATTCAACAGGCATTGCATCGGCCTTCCAGCTCAGCTGCTCAGTACCTTCAGCAGATGTATGCAGCTCAACAGCAGCACTTAATGCTGCACACTGCAGCTCTTCAGCAGCAGCACTTAAGCAGCTCCCAGCTTCAGAGCCTTGCTGCTGTTCAGGTGAGAGTGGAATAAATGAAAAATTATGAGGCCTAAGTTGACATTTGCAGATACTGCAGAAAATAAATGAATTGGGTATTATTTCAGAGTTCAGATGTTTTGTGATAATTTTTTATTAGGGAAATATAATAGGCTGCCAAATGGAAGTTAATTTAAAAAATAATGGATATGTTTTATATATTACTCTGTTGCTAACTTTTCCTTCCACTGCTTTTTATCTACATTGCAGGATTGCTATGCTAGTGTCATGATTTTGCATGTAAAATTTTAGGTATAACAGTGAATACTTAGGATTACGTGAATCATATTTACATTTTAACAAAAAAAGGTTTTTTTCCAGTATGCAAGAAATTTACACTATCAAAAAAAAAATCAAACGGTATAAAATTGTTTATAAGAGTTAAAGAAGAAGTATTCCTTTACTACACCCACTGCTGTTTTCCACTCTTCAGAGTTGGCCACTGTATCAGTTAATGTGTAACCCTCCAGACATTTTCTGTATAAAGATATGCATATGTACTTTCTAAAATCTAATCACACTATTCCTAAGCAAGAATCATACCCCTAGACCAACGAGCCACATCTAATCACACTATTTCTACTAACAGGATGATTTTATGATTAAATGCTTGTGTTTTAAAGAAGATTTTCATTATTGTTCTGTTTATTTAAATAAAACTACATGTGAGATTTAATCTTAAATCTAGTTACTAGAGAAGGATCTCAGTTGACTGAACCTGAAAAAGGTTTATATCTGTTGTAATCACATACCCAGCTGTTGCTTTTTCTTGGTAGTGTAATTTTAAGTAACATCATGTTTGTGATATGAGTTAGGAAACTGAAACCCACTGGCACTTGACGTAGCTTCAATTTCTTTTTTGTAATGTTGCAGTGGTGATTCCACTAAAGAAGATAGAAGCCTGTAGAGTAAAACTGACAACGAGTGCAGCTATTAAAATCATATGACCCTTTGGGTCCTGTTTCCACCATTCAGCTTTTTTGTTTTTTCTTAATCTGGCCAAAGCTTAATCCATGTTCAGTGTAAAATGAATAGCTTCATTTATAGACATTTTTACTTTTCTTTTGGTTTTGTGGTATCTGGCACCAGAAAGATTTTAACTTCTTATTATTTTAGGCAAGTTTGTCCAGTGGAAGACCGTCTACATCCCCCACAGGAAGTGTCACACAACAGTCAAGTATGTCCCAGACATCTGTAAGTGCCCTAAACTTTTTCCTGGATTTAACAATTTTAATTATTGCTTTCCAAAAGTAAACCATTAATATTTGCAAAGCTGTTAATTGTATATTTGTTTAAATACTATTTAAGTAAAAAGTACCTAGAAGTAAGAATGATAAGGTTCAAGAATTCAGAACTAATGTTAAAACTTCTGAAAATCTGAGTCTAAAAATATTTTTGTTTTACTTCTTATACATTGTTTCCCATTAAGTATATTCAGGTCTTTTGTGGTTCTAAATGATTGCAGTTTTCAGTATGTATTGAAAGCCTGAAATGTTCAATGCACGGGTATTAGGCCATGCATTTACTGTGATATACTACAGAATGTCATATCCTTGGTAGACATCTAGATGTTTCTAGCTTTTTCTCTGAAATTCACATTTTAGAAATTATACATTTCAGCTTACGCTTACTTGAGTTATCTGGGTCAAATTTACAATTAGTCCACTCAAGATAGTATAATTTATTTTGAAAAAGGAGTAAAAGAAAGCTGGTTTACTCCCTTGCATATATTGTGGGAAATTGTGCAAACTTTCCTGGTTAAAAGAAATTTATAGGCATGGTTAATACTTGTTTAACTTTTTATATAATTTCAAATTGCGCCGAAACCGGTTTGGCTCAGTGAATAGAGCGTCGGCCTGCGGACTGAAAGGTCCCAGGTTCGATTCCGGTCAAGGGCATGTACCTGGGTTGCAGGCACTTCCCCAGTGGGGGATGTGCAGGAGGCAGCTGATCGATGTTTCTAACTCTCTATCTCTCTTCCTCTCTGTAAAAAATCAATAAAATATATTAAAAAAAAAAATTTCAAATTGCAAGAATAATAAAAAGATTTACTCAGATTTACCAGTTGTTAGCATTTGGGTTCATTGCTTTATCATTTTTTCTCTCTACATATTTACATAATGTTTTTTTCTGAATCTTTTGTGGGTAAGTTGAGACATGTTTCTTCAGTCCTAAATATTTTGATATATATTTACTAGAAACAAAGTCATTCCTTTATGAAGCCACATGAAAATGATCAAATTCCGTAAACTTAACATTGCTGCAGTGTAGTATATATTAAAATTTCATCAGTTGTCCTAGGTTTATCAATCTCATCACTATAGTTTTGGACCACATAATTCTTTTTTTCTTTTTAAATTTTTATTTATTGATTTTAGAGAGAAAGGAGGGAGACAGAGGGAGAAACATTGGTTCGTTGTTCTACTTATTTATGCACTCATTGGTTGGTTCTTGTATGAACCCACAACCTTGGCATATCGGGACAATGCTCTAACCAACTGAGCAAACCAGCCAAAGATGGACCACATAATTCTTTGTTTTGGGTGCTGTCTTGTGCATTATAGAATGTTTAGCAACACCCTTAGCTTCTAGCCCAGGGGTGGGCAAACTTTTTGACTCGAGGGCCATTACGGAGGAGGGCCTGAACAAAAGCATGGATGGAGTGTTTGTGTGAACTAATATAAGTTCAAAGTAAACATCATTACATAAAAGGGTACGGTCTTTTTTTTCAATAGTTTTATTGATTTCAAATGGCGGGATCTGGCCAGGGGGCGGTAGTTTGCCCAGCTGTTCTAGCCACAGATATCAGTACACTGTGGCCCTCCCCCTTCCTCCATTGTGACCTCCAAAAATGTCTCTAGGCACATTTTGCCTAATGTTTTCTAGGGACCAAATTGCCCCTTGAGAACCATCGAGTTAACCCTGTAATGTCCTTCCTAGCTACTTTTTCTTGATCCGATGTGGTAATATGTTAATGCTTTGTAAAATTAACTCCAACAGAATATTGTTTGTAGATTGCTGAGAAATTGAAGGTGAACTTGTGCTGTCCTTCTTTAGCTAAGGGAAGTATCCTGGAATATAAATAGAATTAGTTAAAAAAGAAATTAGTTATGCTTTGAAAATGTTAAACTGAAGGAAATGAAAAATCTAAGTAATATGGCCTTAAGTATTGATACTAAACATTTTGTGGACTGGTTAAAAACCTTATAGACCGCCGAAGCCGGTTTGGCTCAGTGGATAGAGCGTCGGCCTGCGGACTGAAAGGTCCCGGGTTCGGTTCCGGTCAAGGGCGTGTGCCTGGATTGCGGGCACATCCCCAGTGGGAGATGTGCAGGAGGCGGCTGATCGATGTTTCTGACTCTCTATCTCTCTCCCTTCCTCTCTGTAAAAAATCAATAAAATATATTTTAAAAAATTTAAAAAACAAACAAAAACCTTATAGACCAATTCTTTATTCCATGAAATGCTGGAATAACTTTTGACAACATAGAGATAAGTGTTTTTAAAATTTTTCTCTTCACATTATTAAAAGGTATCCTTTTAAACTATTTTTCTTTCATTACGATTTTATGAATGTGACTTTCACAGAAATTATAATTCCAGTGATTGTGCTTACTTTTTATGACATTGTTAGTGCTACTTGTCATAAATTAGGCAGCTTGTGTAATGAAATATGCCAGAGCCTGTGAGTGGCTGCTGGAGAAAAGAAGTAAATAGGGAGAATGGATATCCAGAAGAAAAAAAAAGATATAATACATTGCATTTGTTTTCTTTTTTTAAAAAGATATATTTATATTGATATAGAGCAGTGGTTCTCAACCTTCCTAATGCCGCGACCCTTTAATACAGTTCCTCATGTTGTGGTGACCCCCAACCATAAAATTATTTTCGTTGCTACTTCATAACTGTAATATCGCTACTGTTATGAATTGTAATGTAAATATCTGCTATGCAGGATGTATTTTCTTTTTGTCTTTTTTAAAAAATTTTATTTATTTATTTATTTTTTATTGCTTAAAGTATTAAAATGGGTATTACATATGTGTCCTTTTTTTTTCTCCCCACCCTTGACAATCCCCTGGCCTCCCCTACCCCCCAGTGTCTTATGTCCATTGGTTATGCTTATATGCATGCATACAAGTCCTTCGGTTGATCTCTTACCCCCTTCCCTCCTGCCCCCAACCCTCCCCGGCCTTCCCTATGCAGGATATATTTTCATTGTTACAAATTGAACATAATTAAAGCATAGTGATTAATCACAAAAACAATATGTAATTATATGTGTGTTTTCTGATGGTCTTAGGTGACCCCTGTGAAACAGTCGTTCGACCCCTAAAGGGGTCTCAGCCCACAGGTTGAGAACTGCTGATATAGAGGAAGGGAGAGGGATAGAGACATCAATGAGGGGAGAGAATCATTGATCGGCTGCCACCTGCATGCCCCCTACTGGGGATCGAGCCCACAGTCCAAGCATGTGCCCTTGACCGGAATCGAACCTGGGACCCTTCAGTCCACAGGCCGATGCTCTATCCACTGAGCCAAATTGGCTAGGGCCATTTGTTTTATTTTCTGTCTCAATTGAGCAATAGCTCAAGTAAGTTGACCAGCATTTCAAATTATGGTACCCAAGATTGCTTAATAAATTTAGGTCAAGCTCTGAAAGAGGGGCAGAGCATGGTAGCAGAACTCTTTAGGTAGTGACCATAATGATCTGTCAGGTGGCAGACTAGTAGTTTGGTTATTTTGAGGTAGGTTTTCAGATAACAGTGAAAGTCTTGGGAATTAGTCCAACCTCCAGTAGAAAAAAGGGATACAGTTAGTTTGTCATATTAACAGCCAAATAGGTTGGGGTTTAGAGTAGGAGTGGGATCCCAATGGGGAAGTGGAATATTGTATTTTTAAAAAATGGAGTCAAAATCCAGTGATACCACTTGGGAAACTATGTATATGGAGAAATCTATTCTTAATATAATGTATAGGTAATTAGTGGGTGGACCTTTCAGTCCGCAGGCCGACGCTCTATCCACTGAGCCAAACCGGTTTCGGCAGAAATCTATTCTTAATATAATGTATAGGTAATTAGTGGGTGCCAGTATCCTCTTCTTTTCCCTCATTAGAACAGAAAGACCAATTCTAGATACTCACCAGTAGTGAGTGTTGATTTTATGATTGATTAGCTCTAAAACTAGTTGGGACTGAGCCTTTAGATGTCTTTGTACTTCAACTAAATGAGACTAAGATTTAGTTAAACTGGATTTTCTAAAATGAATTCTAAACCAATTAAAAACTCTTCTGCAAAAAAAGAGGCATAAGCAAAGTTAAAAAAATAACAAAATGGTTGAAAATATATTTAAACCATATTTATTAACCAGCTTATGTTTGTGAAATACCAATGGCTCTTTTATATCAGTAAGATAAACAGTGAGAATTCACAAAATACCTGCATTAGTAATTTTCAAAAGAAAGACTATTTTTAGCTTTTTAGCACATGAAAATATATTTATCATATTAGTAATAAAGAAACATATGTAAAACAACAATGACAGACTATTTTCACTTCTCAAATTAGAAAAGGAAACCCATTGTTGGCAAGGACGTGAGAAAAGTAGGCAGACTCATTGTTAAAGGGAATGTAATTGGTATAGTTTTTCTAGACAGTTATTTGGCAATGTGTATAAAAATTTAAACTGTGGCCGAAACCGGTTTGGCTCAGTGGATAGAGCGTCGGCCTGCGGACTGAAAGGTCCCAGGTTCGATTCCGGTCAAGGGCATGTACCTGGGTTGCGTGCACATCTCCGGCGGGAGATGCGCAGGAGGCAGCTGATCGATGTTTCTCTCTCATCGATGTTTCTAACTCTCTATCTCTCTCCCTTTCTCTCTGTAAAAAATCAATAAAAATATATTTAAAAAAAAAAAAAATTTAAACTGTGCATGCCCTTTCATATGGCACTCTCATTTTTAGTGATGTCATTTACTAACAAGGACAGATAATTATGCAGAAATTATGTAGATAATTATGCAAATATGCATGGTTTATAATAGTGAGAAATTATAAACAATATACATGTCCTTTAATTGAGGATTAATTTTACAGAGAGACTTAGATTTTCATTAGGTATTAAGCTGAAAAATAGCAAGAATGTATATTATGATCCCATTTACTTTATTTAGGTTATTCTATTCTTTTTTCAGTCTAAACTTTCCATTTGGTTCTTTATATCTTCTGTTTCTTTGCTGAGAGTATATTTTTCACTTGATTCAGTCAGACTCATAACTGCTTATTCAGAGATGATTGCTTTAAAATCTTTCTCAGATAATTATATCTTGTCTTGGTGTTGGCATTTATCGATTGTATTCATTCAGCTTGAGAGCTCTTTCTAGTTCTTTAATACAGTGAGTGATTTTTGATTAAAACTTGGACATTTTCAGTATTATGTTATGAAACAGGTTCCCCATTTGGTCTCCATTGATACCCCAGGGGGTGCTCCTCATAATTGCTGAGTGGGGGTGAGAGTTCTGGCTCCTCACTGGGCCCCCACTGATGCTTTTTTGGCTGGCAGGGCTAGAACTGCTTCCCATATGGTCTCCACTGATTCTGCAGGGAACAGGTGGTTTTGTGGTGGTGGTCTGTTACTGCCTGGCTGGGATTAAAGTCCTGGCTCTCTACCTGGCCTTCTCTGACACTAACCCTTTGGAGGGAATAGGGGGATTGGGGTGCCTATTAGTAGGCCTTTGCTGGTGTGGGTGTGGGTGGGGCCACAATGTTTTCTGTGAAGTAGAGCAATTAAAAAAAAAACAGAAACAACTTGCTAGGCTATCTCTCTTTCCTGGTCCTTTGGCTAGAAATAGCAGGCTTCTGTTGGGGCTCCTTCTTGTCTGTGCCCATTGATGTTTTAGTGGTACAGTCTTCTTTAGCCCAAAGTTTGGGTTATATGAGAAAAACAGAAATCCCAGGGAGCTCACACCCACATTGTTTACTGGGTCCTGAGGTCTCTAGCCAGTCTGCTTTTCCCACCTTTGGGATTATCTTATGCTTATCTAGGGTTTTTAGTAATAAGTAGGAAGAGGAAGAGGGAAAAGTATGTCTATTCCATCTTTCTGAAACAGAATTCCTGTCATTTAACTTGTTATTTTTTTTAAATTGATTTCAGAGAGGGGACGGGAGAGGGAGAGAGAGATAGAAACATCAATGATGAGAGAGAATCATTGATCAGCTGCCTCCTGCATGCCCCCAGCTGAGGATTGAATGTGAAACCTGGACATGTGCCCTGACCAGGAATTGAACCACGTTCTCCTGGTTCATAGGTCGACGCTCAATGACTGAGCCACACTGGCTGGGCTTAACTTATTTTTAAAAGTTATATCTATATATCTGATTATGCAGGAAGAAAATCTGTAATACACAACAAACTGTTAACCAGTGATTATTTCTGATGGAAGAACTTTATTGTTTTTTATATTGCCTAAGTAAAATGTGAATACACTCTCATTGTCTAAACGACAGACAATACAAGTGTATAGAGTGCTTCAATACTGTGACAGTTGATCTGGTAGCTTTGACTGCTACTAAGTGACTAATGGGCAGGTAGTGTGTACAGTGTGTATATGCTGGACAAAGGGATGATTCATGTCCCATGTGGGATGGAGCAGGATGGTGTAAGATTTCATCATGCTACTCAGAATGACATGCAGTTTAAAACTTATGAATTGTTTATTTCTGGAATTTTTCACTTAATATTTTTGGACTACTTTGTGAAAAGCAAAACCACGGATAAGGGTGGACCACTATGCATTATTGTTTGTATATACAGTGTACTCACTTGTCTCAACATGTTCTTCTCATATGTGATTTACACACACACACACAGACATTTGTATGTAATTATATAAGTAAGATTATACTACATGTAATTCTGTAGTATTTTTCTCTTAACCTTAGGTCATTAAGATATTTTCATTCCATATAATATAGGTATACATTATTTTTTTTATGTCTGTGTGCTGTTTCTCCCTGTAGATAATACTCAGTTGATTCTGATCAGTCAGTTGTCAGTGGCTCTCAAATGGGCTTTGACTCTAGAGCAGTGATGGCGAACCTTTTGAGCTCGGCATGTCAGCATTTTGAAAAACCCTAACTTAACTCTGGTGCCATGTCACATACAGAAATTTTTTGATATTTGCAACCATAGTAAAACAAAGACTCATATTTTTGATATTTATTTTATATATTTAAATGCCATTTAACAAAGAAAAGTCAACCCAAAAAATGAGTTCACGTGTCACCTCTGACACGTGTGTCATAGGTTCGCCATCACTGCTCTAGAGAGTACTCTGGGCCAGAGACCCTGTGTAACCTTTTGTTGGGGACCCCAAGAGGTGATTGGGAGTTAAATGGCTATTCTTAGCAGACTTGGTTTTATCTGGTGACTCTTGGAATCAGTGCCAGTGGGAAGAGACTCTAGTAATAGGACTCAAGCAGTGAGTTCCTTTATGA